CCCCCCCGCCCTCGCTCACCGCTTTCCCGCCATTTCTCCTCAGCGCTCGAGGCCGTTTTTTTCCCGCTCTTTTTCCCTCAGCGCTGGCCACGCCCCCTCCATTGTTTCCAACGGCGCGCAAGCCACGCCTCTCTCCTTTTAAACCACGCCTACTTCATTAATATTAACAAATAAACTCCTCATTTGCATTGATCACGCCTTTTCTTTCCTTATAAGGTAAACCCCCGCGGCAAATGCAAATTACGCGGACCAAACCACGCCCCTCCCTTCAGGCCACGCCCCCTCCATCCGGGCCACGCCCCCTCGCCCCTCTCGCGCCCCCCCCTCCCCCACCGCAATTAACGCCCCAATAATTGCTCCCCGTTCGCGTTAATGGATCACTCATTAACCACCGGGGCCGTAATTAACGCGTTATTAATTAACTCCTCGCTGGCCCCGGTGACTCTTAAAGGGATCGCGGTCTTTTTTTTAATTAACCCCTTGCGATCGCGTTAATTAACGCCGGCCGTAATTAATAATTCTGTTTAATGAACAACCAAACACAAATTAGCCCGTTGCTGTTAAYTATATGCTAATTAGCTCGCTTTGCATAGTAATTAACCCTTTCTCCACACCCTAAGCCGTCACTCAGACCCGTTCATGCCTTAATTAATTAATTAATGTTTTGATTATAATAATTAAGCAGCGCGCGTGAATGAAAGACCGGGGAAAAAGCGGCGGAGGCGCCTTTAAAGCCAAGCCCCGCCCCCCGCGCGTTCCTATTGGTCTTTTTACACGTAGCCCCGCCCTTGAGCGCTGATTGGCTGACCGCTGATCCCATTTCCGCCGTTACGCGCGTTTCTATTGGTCGTTGCTTCCTAACCCCGCCTCCTCCGTTGTAACGYGCTTTCCTATTGGTTAACCCCGCTCAAGCCCCGCCCTCGTTTTATCGCCGTTAGCCGCYGCTTCCGCGCGCTTCCATGCGCTGCCGCGCTGTTCCTATTGGCTGCCGCCGTCTTAGCCCCGCCCWCCTTTAACCCGATTGGACAACGCYGCCGWGATCGGTTACCRCCTTTCTGCCTTTTMATTGGTTGRTTTAGCTGTCGGTCATGAATTGTGRAATTTTATTGGTTKAGGCAGAGATAGTCCCGCCTACAGCGCTCTGTGATTGGCTGATTTTTCAGGCGTCCCCCCCCCTCACAGCGCGGGCGGGCGGCCATGGCGGCCATGGCGGCGGCGGCTGCCGGAGGAGCCGCGGTGGGAACGGGGACGGTCCCGGGAGGTCCCGGTGGAACCGGAGACCCTTCCCCGCCTTACGGCAACGGCCTGGGAGCGGTGGCGGCAGCGGAGGAGGCGGCGCTGGGAGAAGGGGGGAACCGGGGCCGGGGCGGGAGCGGCCGCGGAGGGAGCGGGGGAGGGGCGGGAGGGCCGATGGGGGGAACCGCGACCGCTTCCACCGCCGTTACCGCCGCCGCCGCTTCTTCATCGGCATCGGCATCATCGGGAGCGCCGGGACCGCCGCACGAAAGCGCCGCCGAGGAGCTGGAGGAGGAGGCG